GACAGTAAATATAGTAATGTACTGTAAATTAAACTACAGTAATAATACCGTAAACATTTTACAGTAGCTTACTGGCATCCAGCAATTTACAGCAATCATTTTACAGTGATGTTACAAAAGATTTCTATTTCAAATAAATACTGTTCTTAAGAACATTCTATTCATCAAAGAATCGTGAAAAAAGCATCACTGTTTCCACAAATATATGAAGCAGCACAACTGTTTTCAAGATTGATAATCATCATAAATGTTTCTTGAGCAGCAAATCAGCATCTTAGAATGATTTCTGAAGAATCATGTGACACTGAAGACTAGAGTAATGATGCTGAAAATTCAGCTTTGATCACAGAAATAAATTACTTTTTACTATATATTCAAATAGAAAACAGTTATTTAAAATTGTAATAATATTTCACAATATTACTGTTTTTACTGTATTTTTTTAACAAATTAATGCAGCCTTGGTGAGCAGAAGAAACTTAAAAAAAAAATCGTACCAACCCCAAACATTAAACAATAGTCTATGTTTTTTATTATCATTTATTCTAAAACGTATTTCATCAGCCAGAAATTGTTCTTTGTGAGTTTAGTCTCTATAAACATGAGCAGTCAGAGAAATTCAGACATTGAAAGTGGTTCAGAGGAAGTGATTTGAACATTACAGTATATACTAATAGAGGAGCTTGTTGAAATGTGGGTTAGGGTGAAAATGCCGCTTTAATAAAGACTGATGCTTCCTGACCGCAGCGGGACACGGTTCTGAGCGAGCCAGCGGTGGAGGTGAGGAGGAAGGGCAAAGGGAAGCAGATCTGGTCCATGGAGAAGATGGAGAACCGGCTGCTGGACATGAGAGAGCTCTACCAGGAGTGGAAAGACTATGACGAGGACGATCCTGTATGTCAAATCACATGACAACTTCCTACATTATCAGAATTACCATAGTACACATTACTGTGTTTTTACTCTACTGTGTGTGACAATGCTATTTTGGAGCTATTAATGTAGCATTTATTATTATTGTTGTTGTTATTATCATGTAATTTTAATATTATTTGTTTTTATTATTTAATATTGTCATTATTTTTAATATTAGATTATTTAATAATTTTTTTTTACCTTCATTATTTTATTTGAAATGCTTGAACTTTTTTTCATTATTTTTAATTACAAAAGTATCTCTCAATTAATTTGAGGCTATAAAAACTGAAAGTATCAATTATATAATAAAATGATTATATTTAGGAAAAAATATAGAAGTCTCTTAATTAATATGAGGCTTTAAGTATAAATTTTATTATAAAAAAATATATATTTAAGTACAAATATATAAGTCTCTCAGTTTATATGAGGCTGTAAGTATGCATTTTATTATATAGAAATTATATTTAAATACAAATATTTAAGTCTCTCAATTGAGGGTATGAAAGCTGAAAGTATACATTTTATTATAAAAGAAATCATAAAATCAACTATGCAATGTAACTCATAACATTGCTAAAATAACTATATATATATATATATAATTTTCCATCCATTTTGGTTAATGTTATGTTGTGTTTTAATGGAGATAACAATCTAAACATTAAATATGTAAATAATAGTAGTTTTAAAATTATTTTAATTTATTATTTAAAATAAAACACTAAAATGAAATATATGGTGGTGAAATGTTCATGTCCGTATGTTCTGGCTTGCGACTAGTGTTTTGTCTGAAAAACGAAATAAATAAAATTAAAACTCTAAAATATTTTAGAAAATAAAAATGTAAATATAAAATAGATTTTAAAGTCATTTTAATTTGAAAAAAAAAACTTTATTAATATACAACAATAAATATATATATAAAATATTGATATTTTTACCTGCATGTCATGTGACATCAGAGAACTGTGAAAGTGTAAACGTGTAGTTAAATTATTTAAATATTAACTTAAATTTACTTCAAGTAAATATTTTAGGCCAAAGATTTGGCTGACAAAAAAGTTTGGGAATCCCTTAAAGGAAACATAATGTACAATTAGTCAATATTTCTTTTCTTTTTTTCCCCATGACCATCATAAATGAAGTATGCTTAAAGGTGTTCAATCTCATCCTCGTCTGTGCTCAGGCCATGCGTTCCTACTTCAAGCGCGCCGATCCGTTCTTCGACGAGCAGGAGAATCACAGTCTGATCGGTGTGGCAAACGTCTTCCTGTCCTGTCTGCTGTATGACGTCAAGCTGCAGTACGCAGTGCCCATCATCAGCCAGAAGGGGGAGGTGTGCACACACAGATTGATTAGAATTTAATATTTTTATTTATCAAGTTTATTAAAGAGTGCAAGGCACTGACTGATTGTCGTTTTTCAGGTGGCAGGTCGTCTTCACGTAGAAGTCGAGCGTCTGAGTGGAGAACTGGAAGAGCGTGAGACGGGGGTCTCTGAGAGCAGTCCAGACGGCGAGACGCAAGAACGCAAGCTCATCTGCATGGTCAGATAAAACGGGACGTCTCCGAACAAACATGCAATGTTTATGAACTGTAGTTGAGTGATTTTTTTTTTTTATTTCCAGCTCAAGGTGTTGCAGGCGACTGGATTGCCTCAGCACCTCTCAAACTTCGTTTTCTGTCAGTATCATTTCTGGGAGCAGCAGGAGCCCGTGTTTATCGCCCCGGAAGTGGGTCTGACGGCCCCCAGCAGCAGAGAGCCGCAGAGTCTGGTGGTGTTTGATAACTGCAAGGTGAAAACACCAAAACATTGCATTTGCACCGGCTCTTTCTCTCCTTGTTTTTCCTTCCATGTTACAGACCCTGTCGGTCATCACACGTCTCTTTCTGCATCTGTAGACTCTAGAAGTGGCCGTGACTGAAGACTTTCTGGAGTTTCTGATGGACGGCGCCGTGGCTGTTGAGGTTTATGGTCACAAACAGGCGAATCCGCGCAGGAATCTGGCTCTCTGGGACCTGGGGGTGATTCAGGCAAAGACTCGCTCTCTCAGAGAGAGGTACACCAGCATTTATTAGACTGTCCTTAAACACAGATTATTGGGATGCATAATTAATAGTTATACTTGTATATAATATGCTATACTTTACTAATAAGCTAATAAGTAATTGAGTTAAAAAAAAAAAATTTTTGTTTAACTTCTGTGGAGGTCACACCTCCAGGAGATCAGTGAGCCAATGGCAATTTAAACTTTCGGAGGGCAAGTTTACGACTCCTTGTCTTCGAACATGGTGTTTTGCTTATGTAACTGGATTGGGTGTTGATGCAAAACTATTAAAGGGGTCATATGATGCGATTTCAAGTTTTCTTGACAAAACAGTTTGGGTTTAGGAATACTCGAACTAGGGTGCCAAGACTTGTTGGTTGTTATTCGGGTTTAACTCGAGCTTTTTTCTGTGTTGTGTGCGTGCAGGTGGAGTGAAGTGACCCGCAGGCTGGAGCTCTGGGTTCAGATCCTGGAGCTGAATGATGCTGGAGAGTTTGTGCCGGTGGAGGTTCAGCCAGCTAAGGACGTCTGCACAGGAGGAATCTTTCAGCTTAAACAGGTCTGTGTGGACATTAATGATAGTAAAACTTTATTTTGACACATTTTTTTCTGTAGAAGATCTGATTTTACCGATGCAGTTCCTGACTTGATTCGGTGTCTGTGTGACAGGGTCAGTCCAGGCGTGTTCAGGTGGAGGTGCGTTCGGTCCAGGACTCCGGCACCATGCCTCTAATCACTGAGTCTGCGCTCAACATCTCCATCGGCAATGTGGAGGTCCATCAGACTCGATCTGGCAAAAGCACAGAGACCCAGAGGGTGAAAAACTCATCTTTACCTTGTTTTGTTTTTATTATTATTAACAGTTTTAAACAATTTCACGCAGAAATGTTGATTCAAATGTTGGCTAACTTTAAGAAAATGTAGAACCAACTCCAACACTAAAATCACAGGTAACCCAAAAAAACATTGAATGCATTAAACTAAAATGACTTTTATACATTTTTTTTAGAATTTAAAATGGAGTGACACTAAGTGACCCTACGATAAATCTGATTTTATGATTAAATAGTTTAATATTTAATATGGTAAAGAACTGTTCTGTACAACCAGATTTACACTAAAATCACAGGTAACCTCAAAAACATTGAATGCATTAAACTAAAATGACTTATAAATTTTTTTTTTAGAATTTAAAATGGAGTGACACTATGTGACCCTACGATAAATCTGATTTTATGATTTAATAGTTTAATATTTAATATGGTAACAAAAATGATCTGTTCTGTACAACCAGATGTACACTAAAATCACAGGTAACCTCAAAAACATTGAATGCATTAAGTAGGGGGGGTTATGTACTGGTAGACATGATTAACCGTAGAGATTTGTCAGCCGGTAGAGATTATGGATAATCGCCTCGGTTACATGCTCACATGACGTTGCTGTGCTATGTGGTTGCGAAAACTTCGTTTGCATGTGTTTTTAAGCATTGCGGTTTAAAAACAAGTGATTTTAAGCCATTGAAACGCAATCAGCAGAGAAAGAGAACTTGTTCGCTATATGCGCGCTATCAGAGAGACAGATGGTGCTCATAGAGCGCATGAGTGTTTTGCCACTTTATAAGCCTTTAACGGTTAAATACACACACTTGTATGTGTCAGAATGCCCGTATTTGCAAGTATCCTCATAAACACAGTAATTTAGGTCTTAAGTGAAAGCAAACAGCTGAGAAAGAAAACACGTGTAACAGTATATTGGATCCGGGCAGCTGTCTGTCCTTCATGTTAAACAAACAACACAAGAGAGAAAATCTCCCACTACTCTTGACTAAATCACTTTTGTAACTTTCATAAGAAGAAATATATATTTAATTTACACAGTGAAGAATATGCAGTGTTTTTATTCATTTGATTACTTTATACAATGTAGCATTTCTTATTTATTTGTTCTACTGTAGTTTTTTGTCATTGTTCTGTTTTTAATCGCTGACTGTTTACATGTCTTCAGTGAGCTTGAGTTTATTTATTTTTTTAATTTAGACTTGTATTAGTTTTTGTGATATTGACCCTGGTGACAAAAATTATGAAATTTCTATGGTATCAAACATTTTGATAAAGCAAAAATAACTATATTGTGATATATATTGTTACCGTGAAATAAAATGACTCGTATCGTGATATAAGATTTTGGTCATATCACCCACCCCTAGCATTAAGCTAGAATGACTTCTATAGCTTTTAAATAAAAAATGAAGTGATAGTAAGTGACCCTACAATAAGTCTTATTTTATCATTTAACCTAATAGTTTAATATTTAAAATGTAACCCAACTGATCAGTTCTACATATTAATTTCGCTGGATTTACTCAAAGATTTCACTGTGTGTGGATTTTAATGCATGCATCCTCTGTGTGAATGAGAGGGAATGTCTGTACAGGAGAGAAAGCGTGGAAAGTCCTTATATGGAGATGTATCTTATGCTAATTATTAACTGCTGGCACATGCTTCTATATTTAGAATAATGGATTGATCAACATCAGAATGAGGGTAAAATGTACATGTTTGAACGCCTGCTGAATGCACACATGACAGCAGTTGTACACAATAGTAGTGAATGAGACTGGTGAATGTGTTTATTGGTGAGAATTGGTGTAAGCAGACGCACAGGTCTTAACTCAAAGTTTTCCTGTTATTTCTGAAGGTGGGAGATAAAGATGTGGACAGTTATCAGGTAATGACTTTTCAGCCTTTTTAAATATGTAAACAATGTTTATGATATGTCTATAGTTGTCACTGTCATTCATCAGGGCGGGACAAGTTGCTGAATATAGAGTAGACATTGAGATATAAAAATGTAAATGTGGATGGTCATATGTTAATTAACCCATTCTGAATGATTCTATTTATATACACTATTGTTCATTATGCATTAATTTAATTAAAAGTGACAGTAAAGACAAGTATAATGTTATTTATAGAAAGATTTCGATTTCAAATAAATGCTGGTTTTTTTTGTTTTTTTTTTACTTTCTGTGCATCAAAGAATCTTGGAAAAAATGTATCGTGGTTTCTACAAAAATATGAAAGAGCTTCTGCATGTTTGTACCTGTAGGAGGTTGATCTGGAGAGACTGAGGGCCCGGTGGCTCACGGCTCTGACTGAACGACAGGAATATCTGGACCAACGTCTCCAAAAACTCGTCAGCAAGCAAGGTAAGATGAGATTTAGATGAACTGCATTATGGGCTGATGAAAAAATCAAATGTGTTTTTCAGTGGAATAGACTGACATCTTTGGTGAAAGTGAGAAAAGTGTTTGACCTTCTGGCACATACAGATAAGTCAGAAGAGGATGTGGAGAGCGAGTCTCAGCTGCTGGAGTGTCGTCTGACGCTGACAGAGGAGAGAAACGCTGTGCTGGTGCCCTCTGCTGGGAGTGGTATCCCAGGAGCCCCGGCGGAGTGGTATGTGACGATATACGTCGTTCCTCTCAAACAATCGTAGAACTAGCCTTATCTAACCATAACCAACTCCTAAATCCCACAATCTGCTTGTTTTTGTCCTCTTTGGTGAATTCAGTTAAGTGAATTCTTCACGTGAGCTTTATTTTTACTGTCTGGCTCCTGTTCCTGCAGGGTTCCTGTGCCAGGAATGGAGACCCACACCCCAGTCATCTTCCTGGACCTCAGCGGTAAATATTTACCGTGTTCCAAATCCTGGTGCGCTGCCTGGATGTTTTCTTCCTACATAGGCAGCTGCCTACTAAGGGAGCATCATAACTGAAATAGACCTCATGAGTGAATGATTTGGAACATGAACAGAAATATCACTTAAAATTGTCAATTTTAATTAAATTTAACTGTCTTTATTGCCAATTAAAAAAAGCTAATAATAAATGCAAAGTTAAAACATTTTAAAATAAAAACAATCAAAATAAAACACCTAAATAATATGTTTAAATGCATGTTATGCAGAGTTATTTTAGTATGTTATACTATTTAATTTTTATTAATATAAATTGACTTTTATTTTTGTATTTTTACTTGTCTTTTTTTATTTCATAATTTTATTATGTGCTTTTTGGCATTTTTATTAGTTTTTGTTTTATTAATATTACTATTTGTTTATTTTTGTTCAGTTTTTGGTTTTATTTATTTTCAATTAGTTGCTAAGGAAACATTTCTAATTTTCGTTTAGTTTGTTTTTCATGTATTATTTGTATTTTATTTTATTTCAGCTTTATTAAGATAAAGCTGATTTATTGGTAACACAATCTAATATACAGTATATAAAATACATACATAAAATAAAAACAATCCAAATAAAACAGCTTTAAAAAAATATATATATATATTTGTTGCTAAATTATTGAAATATTAACTTCAAATTTTAGTGGGAATAAATATCTTACATTTGGTTAAGCTGACAAAATTTTTTTGGGGGAAATCCCTGTCGTATGACTTATTTCTGATCAACATTTCTCTCTTCTGTCTGTCTACAGCTGATGATTTCCATGATCATCTGTCCGCTCCTCTAGCTGGAGGTCTGGATGCTGCGCTCGACAGAGAAGATAAAGATGATTTCATGGACTTACAGATAGTCAAACACAATGAGAATGAGGTGAGGAGACAGTATTTTGCTATCGGTAAAAAAAGATAACTGCACCAGGATATTCCACATTACATGAAGTTGTCTCTCTTCCCACAGGTGAAGGCAGAGGCATCATGGGACTGCACCGTTCATGACAGCCCTGAGCTGAATCGAGCGACGGGGCCGGATCAGAGGATTTACCTCAGCGTCCGCACCATCGTTCTGCTCAGTCATCCCGCACAAATGCAGCTGGTGCTACGCAAGCGCATCTGCGTGAACCTCACCGGACGACAGGTGTGACTGATGAAGTTACTTTTGTGTTTTTTATTGAGTGCTCTTTTATTGATCGGATCTCTTCCTGCAGGGTTTTGCTCAAAGTCTGCTGAGGAGAATGTCTCACCGCAGCTCAGTTCACAGCTGTGGAGTCACATTTGAGATAGTCTCAAATATCCCAGGGGTACGTGAAGAGCAACATGATCTATTCTTGTTTAGGCATGCAGTTCTTGAGTTGCAAATGAGTTGCAATGTGAATTTGGATACTATACACTAGTGTTCAGAAGTTTGGGGTTTGCAAGATTTTTTTATGTTTTTGAAAGAAGTCTCTTATGCACACCAGGACTGCATTTATTTGATCAAAAATGTGATAAAAAAAGAGTAATATTGTGAAATATTATTACAATTTAAAATAATTGCTTTCTATTTGAATATATCTTAAAATGTAATTTATTCCTGTGATGCAAAGCTGAATTTTCAGCATCATTACTCCAGTCTTCAGCATCACATGATCCTTCAGAAACCATTCTAATATGCTACGCAAGAAACATTTCTGATTATTACCAATGTTGGTTCTTTGATGAGTAGAAAGTTCAAAAACAACAATTCTTTGAAATAGAAATCTTTTGTAACATTATAAATGTCTTTACTGTCACTTTAGATAAATTCAATGCATCCTTGCTGAATAAGAGTACTGATTTCTTCCAAAAAGACCCTACATTTTGAATGGCACTGTACATACAGTAAGTCTATGAGAAGCAGGTAACAGAAACAGGTGTGTGCATTTGTTGACAGGACATTCAGAGCTTTGAGGACCGAGAGATGCTCGCCCGACTGGCTGCCAGCACCGACAACCCAGGAGCGGAAAGTGAAGCCGCCATCGAGAAATACCTGCGGAGTGTGTTAGCGGTGGACAACATCCTCACGCTGGACCATCTCAGACAGGTCTGACATACTTCATGATCTCCTGTATCTACTTTATATATGCCAAATAATAAGTATATAAATGCTTTGTTTTTTGCTATATACACTTACTTACATGCGTCATCTTGGTATTTTTTTGTGAATTCAGGAGGTTTCTGTGAGGGAACATCTGACAGATAAAGGAAAGATTCCCAAACGCTGCCTCAGTTCACCCAATGTACACCGGGTAAGACATGAACAACATCTCTGAGAAAAATTAATCCAAATCAGCCTAAAATTAAACCAGAAATGAAATATAAGCTGTTTATTTTTCAGCTCTCTGGCAGTAGGAAAGATCTGTCCAGCAGCCAAGACTCAGAAGACAATAAAGTAAGAAAAAGCACCTTAAATAGTGGCATAACAGTTCAGATTTCCAATAGTTTGGTTTGTGTCACAGTTCAGTACATACTTAGTATGCCACTGTTTTGGGAAACTACTAATAGCAAGCAGTGATTTATTACTGTGATACAATCCTTCACTCAGTAACATCCAGGATACTCGTATTTGTACAGTATTTGCGTCTTTGTTTCATTTTCAGGTTCATTTTATTACTTATTTACTGTCCGTCCAGATGTTCAGCGTGTTTACTGATGGTTTGTGTCCGTGCTTTGACATTCTGTAGAGTGGTTGGGACAGTCGGCAGGAGATTTCTATGCTAACATCAGCCACAAAGAGTCCATCTCACTCAGCGTCAATACAAAATCAAAACTCGGAGCCAGGTAACTGTCCTCATCCTCTTCTGCTGTCCACGTTTCCCTTCACAGGTGAGACAGAGCTTGCATTACCTGTTTGACTTTACTCCAGAGTTTGGCTGTCTTACATGCCAACAGCAACAGACCAGCAAAAACAACAGAACACCTTTGCAACCATACAGAACACATGATCAAGCACTTAGAACAACTTCGCAACACCTTAGCAACCATACAGAACACTATAGCAACATGTTAAAAGCACTGAGAACAACTTAGCAACACCTTAGCAACCATACAGAACACTCATTATAACAACATGATAAAAATACTCAAAACACCTTAGCAACACCCTAGCAACCATACAGAACACTCATTATAGCAACATGATAAAAATACTCAAAACACCTTAGCAACACCCTCGCAACCATACAGAACACTATAGCAACATGATTAAAGCACACAAAACATCTTAGCAGCACCTTAGCAACCATCCAGAATACCATAGCAACATAACAGCATTGAGAACAATGCCCTAGAAACCACTCATCATGCTATAGCAACTGCATACAAATATGATAGTCTCTCAGAATACCTTAGCAACACCCTAGCAACCACTCATAATACCACAGCAACTGCATACAACATAAAAAACACTTAGAACACCTTTGCAACACCTTAGCAACCACTCATAATACCACTGAAATCGAAAAGTAACATAATTAAAATACTCAGAACACCTTAGCAACACCCTAGCAACCAGCCTAAGCTCTCTAGCACCTTGTCAGGAAGCGGCACTTTACTTCATGTAAGTTATTGAAAGTTGTTACTGATGACTAGTACATTTGACCCGCTGGCCTGTGCATTAACCAGCACTGCATGGCGCTTATTAAAGGTTTGTGTTTGCAGCAGTTGTTTGGTGCATGTCATCAAAATGCTATTAAGTAAAACGGTTCAGTAAAAAGGGTTTGCGCTTCATTTGGCCACTGTGCTTTAATTGAAGGTGCTGATCTGCTTATGTAGTTCTGTTTTTGCTTTATTCATGCTTTGCACATTTTTTTTTTACTCACGTGGCTTCTCTGCTCATTTCTCCTCTGCTTTTCTTCTGTCCTTCCATCTTTCTCTCTTCTGCTGCTCCTCAAACCCGTGTTTCTGCAGGTCTCTCAGGATTTGCTGCATCTTATTTCGGGGTCACTCCTACAAAATACCTTAGCAACACTTTAGCGACCACTCATAATATCACTGCAACTTCAAAGTAACATAATACTCAGTACACCTTAGCAACACCCTAGCAACCAGCCTAAGCTCTCTAGCACCTTGTCAGGAAGCGGCACTTTACTTCATGTAAGTTATTGAAAGTTGTTACTGATGACTAGTACATTTGACCCGCTGGCCTGTGCATTAACCAGCACTGCATGGCGCTTATTAAAGGTTTGTGTTTGCAGCAGTTGTTTGGTGCATGTCATCAAAATGCTATTAAGTAAAACGGTTCAGTAAAAAGGGTTTGCGCTTCATTTGGCCACTGTGCTTTAATTGAAGGTGCTGATCTGCTTATGTAGTTCTGTTTTTGCTTTATTCATGCTTTGCACATTTTTTTTTTACTCACGTGGCTTCTCTGCTCATTTCTCCTCTGCTTTTCTTCTGTCCTTCCATCTTTCTCTCTTCTGCTGCTCCTCAAACCCGTGTTTCTGCAGGTCTCTCAGGATTTGCTGCATCTTATTTCTCCCCAGTGAAAGCTCTAGTGTCTCCAGTACCCAAGATGTTCAAGACTCTGTTATCCAAGAAAGAGGAGAAGAAAGAGATGCCTCCTCCTGCTGTCTTTGAGCAGGTAGCAACACCTGCTTTGGCTCTTACTTTATGAAACATTTCTAGATTTAAAAGCTGTGATCACCATACAATGTCCTGAAAAAATGTTAATTTATACATTTTGAGTTCAGAGTTATGTTTCATTTGTATTTAAATTATGTAGCTTTTTATAAGTAATAATAATAAAATGATGTAGCTTTTTATAAGTAATAATAATAAAAAATTAAATATAGAATTACTAAACCAGTAAAATAACATTCATCAAGTTGTATTGCAAAATGCGGTATTTTTGGTTTTACCAGGTATTCCTGGTAAAACACTTGATAATATTTTTCCCCTTTAATTTCACCTAGAATGTGCCACGTATTATTGTGCAGTCTGCCAGTCTTGAAGACATCAACAGCTATGAACTGGTAAGTCTGTTCAGTTAGAACCTGAAAAATAACATTTATATTTGTTTGGTATGATGATTTGTTTTGTTTTTTTAAATAGTAATAATATTTTTATATTTTATATTTATATAAAACAATTTGTGTTTGAACTTGTGTAGTTGAAAACATTTGGATGCATTTTATGGTAGCACTTTATTTTACAGTCCTGTTTCACGTGTACGTACTATGTACTTACTATAGCAATTACAATAACTGGGTAATAACTAGGAACTAACCATTAAAAGCAGAGTAAGTGATTCCGTAGACATGGTGTAACATTGGTTTTGCTTTGTTTCACAGAACTAATCGTTGCCTGGGTTGCGTACGTATATGTGGGCGGAGCTATCAAAATAGGGGCAAGACCCTTTTGGGGTAGAGGCGTGATTGTTTTGGTGATTTCAAATATCAACATTGGCTACCAGAAATCACTTACTCTGCCTTTAACCTACCCCTTAACCTTTCTTTAACCCATGTAGTTATCTTATACTACCCAGAACGGTACTGTAAAATAAACGTACAGTAAAATAAAGTGAAACCCATTTTATTTTGAAGACTCCACAGGGTCCATCAAAAGAAACTGCTCAAGACAGCCAATCAGAATCTGCTTCCTTTGTGCCCATATTCCCGGTTATTCCTGATAAAGTAGAGACCACTGAAGCATCCACCATATCCTCAGAAACCACGTCTGACATCCAGATAGTAAGTCTACATGTATTCTAGGCAGCTCCTTATTAGTATGGTGAGCAGTATCTGGTGATGTGGTAAAGTGGGAAACTTAAAAGTTGCTTTTATTACTGCGTATATTATTAATTAGCTTGATCTCTATGATCTCCTCAGAGCCATGCTATGGAAACCCCAATTTCAGAGAATGTTGAGGAGATTCTACGTCCTCAAGAAGTTGAAGTTCCACCTCTTTCTGTTCCTCCAGTGGTTGAGGAAGTTCTACCTTCTAATCTTTCTCCAGAGGTTGAGGTTCCACCTCGTAATTCTCCTTCAGAGGCTGAGGAGGTTCTACCTCCATCTGTTCCTCCAGTAGTTGAGGAAGTTCCAGCTCCTAATCTTTCTTCAGAG